TCCCCATAGTACTTCTAAGGAATTGGGATCTCAGTTTAGAGGGCAAGGATAACAGGAGGACTCCAGGGTAGAATAAGAAGACTGCAATGAGAAATCAAGACGAAGGACTTGTCATATGGATAGGATCAACCCTAGTGGTGGCTAGAGATAAAATGGGCAAGTAAGGTCCCACAGCTCTTTCCAACTCTGACTACTGGAGATGAGGTTGTTGGTCCCTTCTGATCTGGGACTGGATAGGTTGAGTGCCCCTAACCCAATGCTGAAGAGTCTTAAGAACTAATGTTATCGAAAAATGTGGCATCAGGATTGGAGAAAGACTTATCAACAACTGCAATATGCAGATGATGCAACCTTGCTTACTGAAAGTGAAGAGGACTTAAAATACTGATGAAAATGAAAGTCCACAGTCTTTGGTATGGCTTGCAGCTCAATATAAAGAAGATAAAAATCCTCACCACTGAACCAATAAACAACACCCATATAAATGGAGAAAAGATTCAAGTTTTCAAAGACTTCATTTTGCTTGGATCAACCATCAACACTCACAGAAACAGCAGTCAATAAATCAAAAGACGTATTGCATTAGGCAAATCTGCTGCACAAAACCAGTATAAGGTGTTGAGGAGCAAAGATGTCATTTTGAGGACTAAGGTGCGCCTGACCCAAGCTATGGTATTTTTAATAACCTCATATGCATAAAAAAGTTGGACACTGAATAAGAAAGACCACAGAAGAATTGATGCATTTTGAGTTACAGTGTTGGAGGAGAATACTGGAAGTACCATGGGCTTCCAAGAGGACAAACAGATCTGTGATGGAAGAAGTATAGCTAGAGTGCTCCTTGGAAGTCAGGATATCATGTATGGTAAAGTGGAGGGTCAGCAAAGAAGAGTAAGACCCCAATGAGATGGATCTGCACAGTGGCAGCAGCAATGGACTTTGGTGTAACTATGATTGTGAGGTTGCCCTAGGACCTGACAGTGTTTCGTTCTGTTGTGAATAGATTCACTATGAGTCAGTACTGACTTGATGGCATCTAACAAGAACAATGCTATCAACTCCACAGCACACCAACAACAACACCATTGCTATCCTTGTAAGGAAACTCAAGAGATTATCTGATTCATTCAATCACTCAATTGTTATTTATTGCTTTCCCCCTTGTGTCTATGAGTAATGAATGGATTCTCAATGGGTCAAGCTACTAGTCAGCACTTTGGACAGATCAAAGTTTTACTTAGGATAGTTGTAAGCAAAGCAGCGTAGGTCCTGACCTCTGTTGTAAATCTCTACACTCTCATTCTGTGCCCTCTATGTTTGGGTGTGGGGTCTTGTTCTGCTTTTGAGCTTAGCTGTCCTGATAAACACAGCAATACTCCTTAAGAAGGACCCTAAAGTTGAGGAGGGAGTTTATCTTGAAATAATTTAAGTTGTTGTCTCCAGCTGGCTCTGTGGACACACCTATGAGACACAGATATGCAAAGAATGAAATGTGATAAACTCACTCATTTTTCCAAACACTTACATTCTCTGGATGTTGTACCCACTCATTCAGAAAGTTTATGTTCAATTATCAGAGAAACACATATGCTACAGAACCGTATTCAGACATGGTGAATCTTCAGAGGTGACATTCACTCATGGAGAGTTTGCCCACATGCACTCACATGAACTTGAGGATGCCTGCCAAGTTCACATTCAGATGTGCACATTGACCAGTGGGCATAGTTACTGAGCTCTTGCCATCCTACCCAGGTATCACACTAATCCAGACCTGGTATACACACACATGCCCATGATTAACCATCCCCATGCTCAAAGAGATACAGGGAAATACTTGCCATGTTGTTGTTAAGTTCCATCTAGTTAATTCTGACTCAGAGAACTGTGTAGGGTTTCTAAGGAACTGCTAGTGAGTTTCAACTGCCAATCTTGTGGTTCTAACCAGCATTGTGGTCGAGTGCTTATCCTACAGTGCCACACCAGGACCCCAGTGCTTGCCATACTGCCTCACATTTTCATGGGACGGTCCCTCTGTCATAGTTCTCTAGAGCTGATATAACAGAAGTACTACAAATGGATGGCTTTAATAAACAGAATTGTATTATTTCACAGTTTGGAAGGTACAAATCCAGAGCAGTAGCTCTGGAAAAAAGTCCTTATCTCCTTTAAGCACCTGCAGACCCAGCTTTCTTTGGAGATCTCCATGTGTCTTTGCATCAAGTTCTCTCTGGATCTAGGAGCTTCACAATGCAGGGACCAGTTGGCCAAAGGATGCACTCCACTTTAACTTTTCTTTTTCATTTGTAGTAAGTCCCTATTCTCTGCTCATTCCTCTCTCCTTTTATCTCTTGTAAGATGAAAGATGTTGCAGGCCACATCCCTAAGGAAATTTCCTTTCTGTTGGTTGGCTGCTCATAGCAGATCTCATAATTGAAGTGATTGCATTATATTAGACCTCATTATGGAAGTGATTACATTATATTAGATCTCATCATAGGGGATACTACATCTTAACTGCCAAATCAATGAGAATTCAGGGGCAGCCAAGTTGACACCAAACCCTACCCATCACACCCTCCATAGCCTAATGTAATAGTTCTGTGCCTGTATATTCAAAGAAGTTGTACTTCCTTACCATGTGTCTAGTTGAAGGTTGGTAGCCCCCACTATGCTAGTCCACTATGCCAACTTTAAATGATTGGTCTGGGACTATCTGCAACCAACTCATTAACACAAAAGTCTCCTGTGGGCATTCTTTGGACAGTACTTCTCATTTGTCTTTTGTCTTGGGTCATAAATCTCAGATCTGTGCAATACAGAGCTTCCAAAAGAACAGTATTTATTCAAGGGAAGTAGTAAATGTGGACAAAGAGGTGGAAAATATGTCATCCGTATTTATAAACTTCGGAATATTTTTTGACAAAAAGGACCTATAACATTTGGCACATAACCAGTATTCAATGAAGGCTCAGCCATCCTTATTCCCACATTATCCACTTCTTACAGTCATCCAGGCAGAGAAAACAGTCAGCGTTCACGAGACAGGAGCTCAGGGGAATCGTTGTTTATCCTGATTAAGGCTTCTGCATCTAGTCAGGTTTAGTTTCATGCTTGCTCTCAATTTTAATTTAATTAATTTTGATTCATTTGAACAAACATTCATTGATCAATTACTGGGTGTGGGTGAGGGGCAGTGCAGTGATGATTAGGCCTCCACTCCCACTTCCCAAAAGGTGACAATCTGGGGAAAAAAGACAATAGCCCCATGTTTGTGTTATTGCAATCTCAACCAGTTAGCAATTAGTGAACTACAGGGAAAATGAGAAGGGGAGAAATTCATCCAAACTTGCAGGATCTAAGCAGACTTCATAGAGGAGCATTTAGGGAATAGCATTGTTGGTAGAGCGCACATAGACAGACACAGCAAGGGGTGACAGCTGAAGGGTGTTAGGGCAGTAACACAGGATCTGGAACAAGTGGCACATGACATGCATCATGAGAAGACCTCCTGCGATGTAACTGGGCTCCAGGGACAAATGACCTATGGTGACAGGATGAGGGGTTTAGATGGCATCCTTTGAACAATGGAGAGCATGTGGAAATGTTTGAAATGGACAAGGATATATAATTAGGAAGATAAATGGATTGACAATTAATTACATCAAATAAATTAGAAGGAAAGAGAGCAGTTGAATTCAGATATGATTGGGGAAATCCCCAACCTAGGCATTATCAGGAGAGGAGAAAAAGGAGGATGGGCAGGGGAGGCATTGCTGAGGTCAAGTCAGTAGGGCTTGTTGATTAGAAGTGCTCAGTGAGAACTAAGGAGGTGGGAATTGAGAATGATCCCTAGATTCAGGATCTGGCCACTTGAATGGTGGTATGAGAATAAGTTAAAAAGTATTGCTTCTAAACTTCCCTTTCATATATACATTGCTTAATACCAAACAAAACCTGTTTAAAGATGTCTCTGCAATCAGTGGATGGTTGCAGACAAATCCTATCAGCAATACACTTGTCTTAGTCTTTTTACGGTGCCTTAAAAAAAAAAAAAAAA